AGGCAACCGGCGTCTAAATTTTCTGAAGAAAGCTTGTCATGAAGGGATACAAAGCGTCCGGTCCAAAACTGGGAGGGTTTGGCGCCGTTGATTTGCGAGCATCCAGGCTCCGCCGAGGACCGGCTGGAGTCGCAGGGAGAGGGTGTCGAAGAGATTGGGCTTTGAGTAGTGGGAAGGTTCAAATTTGAAGAACTCGAGGGGGTATCAAAACTGTCCGTAGAGCCCGAGATGGAAGATTCCGGGGGGATCGATGGTGTCTCTTTGGGCTGAGCAGAAGGGCGAGTGATGCTCGATTTGAGCTCCTGGAGAACAGTCATTGTTCGCGATCTAGGAGTGCTCACACCTGGCAGTGTTGTTGTGGATTGCCTGGCACTATTATCTCCAGTAGGAGGTACATTTTCATCGTGGATTAAAGTGTCAGGATTGAAAAGAGCCGAAGTAGTCGAACTTTTTGGAAGCCGTGTCGTCACATGGGCAGGCCTGGGGCCCAACCCAATGGATGAGGCTTCGCGAAGTTTGTTTATCGAGACTTTTCTGACAGGCGCATAAATTCCAATCGTTGCATTTACTTTTGACTGAGCGACAGTCGGCTTGCTTGTCAAGGATTGGGCTGAGAGGCTGGTGGGTATCTTTCGACTGGGTTTGGAGGGAATGGGCAAGTTGCTGGTAAGGGGAGGCACTGGCCGAGGCGCAGCGCAGTCTTTGATCTCGCTGACAATTGTCAAGGTCTCGCTTCTTGAAAAGTCCTCGCCTCTTGAAGTTCTAACGGGGCCGATAGGTGCAGAGATTGTAGGTCGGGGTGGTTTCAAGCGAAGTCCTAAACGCGTCGAGGCTCGCGACCAAGATGCAGTGGTGGGGGATGGCTTCTTCAACCGGGTAGTCTGTTGCTGCTCCATGATTCTCGGGAAGAAGGATGCCGGGAGTCTCGAGAGATGTTTTGCATGTGTTTGTTCGGTTGTCTTTGGGTGAGGTTCGGAGGAGTGTCAGCCAATTGTGTTGCAGAAACACGTAATTTAGCAAACTTCGAGTGACAGATGCTGGAAGTAAACATAAGAGGTCAGAAAATATGCAGTGGGCTTGGGGTTTCTATAGCACAATTGAGGCCCGAACCGCTGTGGAAAGACCTAGAAATGGTCGGAGCACGAGATGTGACGACACGATTAGGGAGACAATGAAAGGAAGCCCTCTGTAAAGAAGGGATCGGAGACGCCTGCGAATCAGACAATTGCAGAATGTAGTGGAATCTCCGCCACCTGTGTTGTGACTGAACAAAGCAACATGCAGTTACAGCTCTGAGTTTGCTCGCTTTGAGCTGGCGTTGGGGCGTGAGCAGGAGCTTTGTTTACTTTTTAAAGCTCTTTCGCGACTGGAACCTGCGCAGGTAGACAAAAGGTGCACAACCGGCAGATAGATTGATAAACGGCGGGCGGTGACGGACACAATCGCGCCTGCCTCTGGTACCTTCTGCTTTGTGACTGGGCCAGCAAGCGAGCTGGACGGCGACAGTGACTCTTTCCTCCAGGCGACTGGCTGATAGTGGATGTCTGCACAGGAGAAAACGACCGTCAGCGGCTGTCAACGAGCTGTAGCGTCGGCTCGCATCTGCAGCTTCGCATGGGCACCACCGTTCGAGGGCGTGAGAGGGCCGTCGACTCATTCATTCCGTCATTTATTCATTAGTAGACGCAGAAATATATGTCTATATAAGTCGGGCCAAATTTGTTGAACATGTTGGTCCAGTCAGTATTTCGAGATGGTCTGAAATGCGATCTATCTAGAACGATCTTCAATGGGTAAGCACCCTCCTCTATCTCTAACAGAAACGGTATGCAAAAACCAATAGAAATCCAAGCCTCCTCTTCCTCTGGCCTGCCTCTCTTGCTTTTCGTCTACTCTTCCCAGCCGTTGATCTTGAACTTGAACGTTAGATCTCCCTCTCCTCTCGGAATTTCATGTCCCGTGGCATCGTACAGCGCCCTCTCGATGTACGTCACGTTGCCGTCGTGGTCTACCAGAACGATCGTCTGCCGTTGCGTCCCGTACATTCCCATATCGAACCCCTGGTGGAATGCCGCATCCCCATTGATAGCGATATCTTTTTGGAGTTCTTCCTCTGTTGGCCACCCTTGTCGACCCTTGGCTTGCGCCTCCTTCGTTTCGACACGATGCCTCTCATCTCCAATCGCTGGGATGAAGATACTGTTCTTCAACTCATCGATATTCTCCTCCAGCGTGCGATCGCAGTGACCATGGAGTGTGTCGGTGTCGAGATGCTTAAACAACTCGTCTACCAATTCCTGCTCACTGGCCTCCTCGTTGGCTGCATGCGCCTCGATGACATTCTCAAATCCCTTCACCCCGGTCCCGACTTTTGGCCAAGTCTCGGACCGTTCAAATGCTGTATTCGTCAGCCCCCACCCCTTGATGTGGTCTGGCTTGACGATTGGCACATCTTGGATGTTCCCCGCTCGGTTGCTGATGACAGCAAATCCCTCGCTCTTCTTCTTCAGCTTCGCGCACACCATCGAGAAGCCTCCCACGCCCTTGACACCCCCGTCACTGACGAAATCCTCGACGCTCTTCACCATGCTCAGCTCGGGTGGCTCACCCAGCCATGCTGTTGGCATCGCACCTCTGCTTTTCCTCCCCTCAATAGGGTGTTCTGCATCATTGAATGGCTCACGGTAGTTTGTCAGTACCGCCAGCAGACCCGATTTGGTGATGCCCATCCATGTGCCCATCTCCGGGCGATGGAGGTCTCGTGACGACAAAACCTCCTCCCCAGTCACTGGATGCTTGTACCAGTGGGGCCTGGACGTTGGGCGCAGAATAAATTCATCGCGGTTGTCGATGACTATGACTGGATATTTGGGGTGCGTCGTAGTAACAAAAACGATGCACATTTTGCTTTCGTTCGAGTTTGCTTTCTCTCCCTTCTGCTGTGAAAAGGGTTGGTCAGGTAGGTAGTTGGTTCTTGCGAAATAGGCTGATGATTGTGTATAGGTTGTAATGAGTTGATAGACACTTTGGAGCCGTTTCTCCCCAGACGGAAAGGTTATTCAGCGGACACCGACCGCTATTTATTCCCTTTTTTCTAGCCAGATGACAACATGCATAGAGAAAAACCGGGTAGCCCGAGACTGCGGTTGCGGACGCATTACCTGATTCTACCCAACGGATGTGTTTTCCCTTGTACTGCCTCGTATGTACCTGTCTGTACGGCCAATCGTAGGCTTTGCCCGAATCATACCACCAAAAACTCAACATGTGAGCTGCACCCGACAATGGACTTTTTCGGGACCTTCAGCGGAGAACAGCGGATTCGCACCGGTGCAATCCGCGTTCTGTGACTAAGCGCCCAGAACACATGTTAACCAAGGCAAGCCCAAAGCCAAATTATTAGACCCATGGGCCGAGCATATGCCTGCATGAAGCATGCCTAGGCCCACCGATCGGGTACTGTGAAAACTCATCTGGTCACGGGTACAGGGCGCAGTAAAGCAAGAGAGAGCCTGGGGGAAGGGTGCCTGGTAGAGAGCACATTCCAGAGGAACCACATCAGATGAAGGCATGGCAACGGCGACATCAACTGAAGTAGAGGAAAGCGCAGTGTTGTCAGCGATTACTCATGGCGGTGAGTGGCTTATGAGACCGAAGAAAATGTTGGATGAACATCAGATAAGTGATTGGGATGAGAATGGTCATCTTGAAGAAACAAATGAGATGCTGGATCCGATCGTTCTCATCAATCATAATGTATTGACTTTTTCTTATTTTTTTTATTAGAAAGAAGAAGGTCCCTGTTTAACAGCCTTTCTCTTAAAACTTTCGCCATTGGAAGTGTTGGCCTATTTCCATACACTTGAACTCTCCGTACCCTTGGATTTACCATTCTGATACGTTTCACTCAGTCCATTGTACAGCTTCTTCACTCTTTCGAATTCCGACAGCAGGGCAGCCTTGGCTTCCGCGTCGGTGACAGTGTCGATGAGTTCAGCAACAGACCTCGCTTTGAAGAACTTGTTGTCGCGGTTGTAGAGCGGACGCGCCTCCACCTGCTCGTCCGTCTCGCTGCCCTGGACGCGGAAGACCTCCTGCAGGATGTCGATGTCGTAGGGGATCGAGAACAAATCCCGGCTGTCCTCGTAGGTGAAGAGGTAGTAGAACTCCCGGAAGCCGGACCACGTGATGCCGCTCAGGCACAGGCTGCAGGGCTCGTGCGTGGCGAAGAAGACGCAGTCGTCCCGCGGGCTGGGGCGGCTGGCCGGGTCCGGGTAGTCGACGGTGTAGAACTGCTGGATGCAGTTGATCTCGCCGTGCAGCAGGGGCGAGACGCGCTCGTTGTTGGTGGCGACGGAGAGGGGCCTGAGGGTGCGGCGGTCGAGGATGGCGGCGCCGAAGAGCTTGCAGCCGTTGGTGACGGCCTGGGCTGTCAGGGGCACGATGGAGGTTTCTACTGTTTGGAGGAGGGCCCGGAGGAGCTCTTCACTCTTGACGGGGGCAGACATGGTCGTTGGGTTTCACTCCTTGTTAGACCTTTGATGTTTAGGGACGAGTTACAGGTTTCAACACCAGAGTTCTGTGGGAGATCCGGGCACAGCATTCAGGGCATGAGGGGAAGGAGATGGCAGATAAGACACGGTCACACCAGATCGGGGCCGGCCGCTGGCGTCGTCTGAGACGGTCACCTCCGGGAACACAAAACTTCTTTCTCCATGGCTAGACTAGGTCTACAGCTATGGGAGAAAGTATAGAAATCACGCGTATTTGAAACCAGGCTTGGATGCTAGGACCACCCTTGGCGCTATCACGGTTGAGGATGATGAAAGGAAATGGTTGACATTTTAGCTACAGAGCAGAAATCAATTGAATAAAGGAATGACTAAGCATACTTACCCACTAAACTTTCGAGTTCTCAACATGAATTAACTGAACCTTTACAACATCCATTTCCATTTCTCAAAATGCGAAAATGAGAAGAGAAAAAGGGTGAGGGAAAGATGCACTACATACGATGCTTGAGCTCGCCTAAACTCTCGCCGAGCGGGAAAAACACACAACTCGAGGTCGTCTTCACCATCACGACCGACCTGGGCGACTCTTTCCTCTCCCCGAAGGAGCCCATCGAGTTGGAAGCCATCCTCCATGTCACGGCTGGCAAGAAGGACAGCAAAACGCTGCCCTTGTCCCAAAAGGGGCAGCTTGTCTGGAAGCGCGGCCAGAGAATAGCGAAACCAGTCTTCCTGCTTCCCGCCATCGTCACCCAGATCATCGCGGCGGGCCTCGGGGTGCAAGTTCAGATCAGGGCAAGCCGGGCGATTTCAGCCGATAGAGCGTCTTTGATTCTGTCTGAAGAGGCAAGCGGATCTCGGGGGGCTGGCCTGGGGCTCGTTATGTCAGTTTGGTTGACCCTCAGCCCGAAGTCCAAGGATGGCCAGCGGCATTCGACCCGGAAGTTGGGGCTGGGCGCAGCAGGCGGCACCCCGATGACGATTGAGATGGAGGAGGAGCTCGGCGAGAGCATTGCCCGGCATATCTGGGACGCAGGCGTGGTGGCCCTGTGCGCTCTTTCCAGCACTGTGTTTTCGCCCGCCTCAGCGACCAGTCAGGCACCTTGTGTGAGGGCCGTTGGCAAACTCTTGACCAAGCCAGATTCACTAAACGTTCTGGAGCTGGGATGCGGCGTGGGCGTGTTGGGTGTTGGGTTGGGGGCCCTCTGCTCCAAGGTCCGCCCTGAGGCGAGCAAGGATAGCTTCGTCCTGATGACGGATCTGGAGGAGGCGGAAACACAGGCAAAGCTCAACATGGAGCATCTGCCCAGCGGGCAAACCGCCGCGCTTGCATATGAGAATCTTGACTGGGAGGAAGGGAGACGGGGGATTTTTGGAACGCAAACGAAGGCTCGGCGATGGGACCTTGTCATGCTTAGCGACTGCACGTACAATGTCGATATGCTTCCGGCGCTGGTGGAGACTCTATCGGCGCTGCATGCCTCAAACAGGGCACACTCTGGAGACACCGCGGAGGAGTGGACAAGCCGGGTGTTCTTAGCTACAAAACCTCGTCACCCGTCTGAAAAGGCGCTGTTTGACTTGATGGCCCAGCATGGTTGGCAGAAAGCAGCCGAACAGGTCATCCCTCTGCCCGTTCTTGGGTCTGATCCAGAATCGGTTGAGCTGTATCTGTTTGAGAGGAGAGATGATCGTAAAAAATAATCGCAATGAACTGCGAAAGAAAATAAAATAATCTAAAGTACGTACGTTCTTTGTTTCCGGCGACTATGCTTGATGAGACTACGGCGGTAGAAAACAGGATTCTTAAGGCCTCTATTGAATTATTGCTTCCGTGGTAGATCGTCGTCCTGCTAGTAGCTCCGCATAGCTTCAAGGTGCAGGCCACAGGCTAGCATGAGACTTGAACGAGACAACAACTGACTGAAGAATCTGTCTCGACGAGGAAAAAGACTTTAAATCAATATTTGCGCTAGAACCAAGTTAGACAGCCGCAAAGGATCCAGTGTCTATTGTACAAGGACTTGAGCTAGCAGGATTCCTCATGGTAGCAACATCGCAAACTCACTACAATGCCCTTGGTGATATTATGCCTTGATTTGGAATTAGTGCTGAAACGCTTGCATATGAGGGACTCTAAAGGGTAAAAAGTCGGTCATGGCCCTCACTGCTGCTTATCGCCGGCTGGGACTTTGACGAGTGGCTGTACAGGGGCCGGATATTCCCAATGGATGTATTGAGCATGGCCCCTACGTTTATGGGCATGGGACATGAATGTGTAAAGGGGAATGAAGCACCAAGTCATGAGAATGCTTGCGGAGTACGAATATCAAAAGTCGACGTACTCAATTTGATCCTCAGCCAAAGCAAAGGCATAGTCCCGATCCAGATGCAGGGATCATAGGCGGCATGACGGATCGGGCATGTGTAAGAAGCATGCAATCGTGCCGACATGTACGGCAGAATGGAGCCTCATGTCTAAAGGCACCAATCGTTTGTTAGACGCGAGTGAGGATGGTCTTCAGGCTGCTTCCGCTGACGCCACTCAGGCCGAGCCAAGTGATTGAATGCGGGACTAGATGTCATCCGCATCTCCATTATTTAGCACATGTAGCCTCCTTTGGGGAAGAAGACAAGGAGCATTGGGATGGTAGGGCACGGTGTGCTTTGAGAATTGCCCAAGCACTTGGACCAAATATGTAGCTGAGCCTAATTCCTGTCATCAGATTAGGCTCCGCTATGGCAGGATCCATTATGTTGATTTACTTGGAAGATCATCACCATATTTCGATCTAGATGCATGGTAGCAGCAATGAGAAGTATAGGACATGCATAGGTCATTGTAAAAAGAATGCAAGCACAGTCAATCTCGTCATCTTACCTCATTTGTTTCATCATAGAGGCCTTTTCGCCCTGCTATCCGGGGAGTTTGGGTTGATTTTCCTGGTGAGATGTCAAAATAAATCAAGACGTATTCAATATCCAGGTTGTGGTCGTATTATGCTTATAATCTGAAGGTCTTGAGTCTGCCATGTGTTTTGCCCTGATTCTCCCCACAGGCTAGAATAAAGTATCAGGTTAGTGGAATGGAGGGGAGTCAAAACCCCAATGGAATCATTCACATGCATTAATATGGAATGTTGACTGATGGTCGGACAAATGGCCCAATACGTGCGTGCGGTCTGTGATGAATCCAGTTTGTTCGGTAATCGTCGCACGGAGGTTAACGGAGACATGTTGTCGCTTGATCGGCCAACAACAGCTACCTACAATCGTTACAAACATGTAGAAAATTTAACTAGAAACGTGAGTATTCTGCCGTATTGACACGCGCATGACACTTCATGCTGACCGACAGTTGCGGACAAGCCAGTATGATACATGCACAGCGTTGATATTACATGGGCCTCCTTCCTTACCGTGTTGAACCATTTGTCAATCAGATAAGGTTATGTGCTGACGCGAGCTACATAAGCGGAAGCTTTTTGGAATTCCAAATAGCAACCGGGGAGAGCAACAGCCTAATATCCAGGTACGGCCCTGCATGAGAGGCTCGCTCTACCGGCCACGTCAGCCCAATATTCGATTGCTTCCATCAATCCGTGGCATCGGTGCGAGCATGCCCAGTCAGGGGTGCATCACGGCGAGTGAGAGCCGAGGGCGAATATTAATAATGCTTGATTATCGCCCGCCATCTGCTGCTTGTTGGCTGCCCCTCAGGTTAAGAAAGTTCCCAGCATCCCTGCACTTCCCTTCTTCCTGTCAATCTTCTCCCGTCATGGTCCAGGGAGGGAGCCCAGGTTAGGGGATCCGAACCGGGACGAGACATGGCCCGCGGCTTAGAAATGCAGGTCGCAAAAAGATGCGTATTGCGCCCATGCTGACGCTGCACTTGCATCGTCCCCTTTTGGCTGTCCCAATCCAGCAATCCTTTCCATCAGTCTCCATGTCCACGGCGCAGTCCGCGGAGTGTCTCACAATGACTCAGGATGACCCCGGACACCGCTAGCAGCTTGCGAGGGGGTTTTGATTGGGCCAATTCATCCAATAGCTATTTTCCTCGTTTCTTTTTTGCTTCTGGCTTTTGCCAGTGATGTACCGAAGTTCATCCATCGGTTCCCCTAGCGGCCTCCAGACGGGCAACGTAAAAAATGGCGGACTGGCGGGGGCCAATCTGAGCCCGCCCCATGTTTCAGTTTGTACTTCCGCCGGAGCTGGTCTGACTCTCAAATTGTTTTCACGGTGAACAAACAACCGAATGCGCTTGGCCGCCGTGAGATGACGGGCTTGCCGCACATGGCAGTGAAAGGTTTTCGCTGTTGCCCGCCTCAGGTGGCGTCTTCCCTGATACATGCATTCAATTGTATACGCACAAGCATCTTAAGCTGACTCGACTTGACATGTCAGCGCACAGTAGTAGGTGGGTTTTATTATGGCGGCAGTTCTACAGCGCCGTGCATGCCACACACGTGTGCGTGTTCGTACCTGCCCGTCCGTTATGTAAAAGGCCGATACGAGCGAGGCCTTGGCCAGATCCAGAATATCAGCATGCGTAATATTACACGGCGGTATCTTTGCCTGTGATGATATTAGATTCATCTCCACCAACTGTTATGTCGTCCCCACAACCTTCCAGGTGCGATCCTTCTCTCACTGGCTAGCGGTTTGACATTGGCTGTGAACGGCGTGAGATAGCGCCTGTCTGGTTTGTCATGTACGGACGCTTGTGGTTTTGGCCGATGACTCGATCCCGAGCCATGTGCTCCACCTCCCTGAATCTCACTCGCCCCGGCCGCTTGTTGCCTCGCGCTTTGCAAAAGGAGGGAGGGATGGCTAATGGTGAGTGATTGAGCTTTCAAGATGGATACGGATACCGGTTAGCCTTATGCCGTTGCCCCACACCGCCATTGACGGCAGTGTGGAAGAACATGTAGACGGTTGGTGACTGCCTTGCTACGACGCTGGCTGTGATACCGAGAGGGAGTGACTGGGTTGGAGAGCGTGAATTGTTGGCAGTGTTCATGCTTGATCGATTCACTCCAACTGCGGGTGCTACGCTGAGGCCAATACAACCAAATGATAGGGACGCCTCAGCCCGTTCAGGGTTTTTTTTTCGTTGCTTCTGGTGGAGATTCAAATCTCAGTCCCATGTATAAAAATCTGCTTGAATCTAACTCAAGTAGCGGGCCCCAGTTTGGCATAATGCATCCACCCCGGGTTTAACACTTTGGTCCGTCCATAACGCAAAGCAACTCACTCCCACCACACGGCCGAGGACGAGGGAGGGACCGGGATGGGGATGGGTGCCCGTTGATTGGTAATCTCGTCCATGCTTTTGCCGTTGACCTGCCTCGCCAAGGCACTGACCCATGGCTGACCCTGGGCTCAGGTTCCGGCTCCTGCTCAGGCTCAGACTCGGACTTGGAGCCAGCCGTGATAGGACCCTCGAGCATGCATGTGGGCAGACCCATGAAGCTAGACGCAACGTCGGTCTCCTCTTCTTGGCTCTCTTGTAATGTGCAGATGGAGTAGCAGCTGGGAACCCCGGTCTGGCTCTGCCCGCAGATCGCCTTTCAAGATCTGCAGCTATGTATCCTCTTTTTGCTCCCTCGACCCTTCTTTCTCGCTGCCGCTTCTTTGCTTGAGAGCCTTATTTATAATACTATCGTGACCCTCCCTCACTCTTCCCCTGTTTAGTTTCCTTTCCCTAGCACACTTCCTCCATTCCTTACTCTCAAGGCCGTCTTCGAACCTTTAACCTAGGTCTCCACCTCCATTCTCCTTTTCTTCGATACTGGTTCCAGGAAGAGAAGTCTCTGGCCACCAAAACTGCTCTTCAGCCCTCCCCGCGCGAAACTTCATCCGTGGGGAGGAAATCAGGTTCCTCTTTTGTAACAACATTGGTCAATAGCCAAAACCTCGCTCTGTAGCCTATATACCAATTGACTTCCCTCTTTCCTCTAAAATTAAACCGCGAGGATAAATTTCGACACAATGACGGACCACGCTGCTGAGAAGAAGGATGAGCACAAGGCCACATCCGGCCACAGCCCTGACGAGATTGAGCAACGGCCTGCGACTGGATCCCATGGCTCTGAAACAGCCACAGCCACTGACGACGAGAAAGCCGACACGAAAGTCCACGACAAGGCTCGCGCTTCTGCTGAGCTCACCCGCCTGCGCTCTGGCATCTCAGTAGAGCAGGCGCAGGCTGACTTTGAGGAGCTGCAGAGGGAGTTCACCGGCGTATCTCGAGCTAGCCGTAAGAGCGGCGGCCACAAAGCCGTTGACCCTGAAAAGGGCGGCGAGCAGTCCTCGGACTCTGGCTCCGTCTTTGATCTCGAGACTGCCCTGCGCGGAGACCTCGACGCCGGCCACGAGGCTGGAATCCGCTCCAAGCACATTGGAGTGTACTGGGATGGACTCACTGTGAGGGGCTATGGTGGTCTCGCCAACTACGTCCAGACCTTCCCGGATGCGTTCGTCAACTTTTTCGACATTGTCTCCCCAGTGATCAACCTGCTTGGACTCGGCAAGAAACCCGTTGAGGCGACCATTCTGGACAACTTCCGTGGTGTCTGCAAGCCTGGTGAGATGATCCTGGTTCTCGGAAAGCCTGGTTCTGGCTGCACCACTTTCCTCAAGACGATTGCCAACCAGCGATATGGCTACACTGGCATTGATGGAGAGGTTCTGTACGGCCCATGGACCGCAAAGGAGTTCGGCCGATACCGCGGAGAGGCCGTCTACAACGCCGAGGACGATATTCACCACCCAACCTTGACCGTGGAGCAGACGCTTGGGTTCGCCCTTGATACCAAGATGCCTGCCAAGCGACCAGGAAACATGACCAAGGCTGCTTTCAAGGAGCATGTTATCACCATGCTGCTCAAGATGTTCAATATCGAGCACACTAGGCACACCATCGTCGGAAATGCCTTCATCCGGGGTGTCTCAGGAGGTGAGCGCAAGCGTGTTTCCATTGCGGAGATGATGATCACAAAGGCATGCATTCTCTCCTGGGACAACTCTACTCGTGGTCTGGACGCCAGTACTGCCCTGGACTTTACCAAGTCTCTCCGAGTTCAAACTAATCTGTACAAAACAACCACCTTCGTTTCTCTTTATCAGGCTTCGGAGAACATTTACAACCTCTTCGACAAGGTAATGGTCATCGACGAGGGCCGACAGGTCTACTTTGGCCCGATCAGCGAGGCTCGCGCCTACTTTGAAGGACTTGGTTTCGCCCCGCGCCCTCGACAGACCACCCCTGACTATGTGACGGGATGCACCGACGAATTTGAGCGTGAATACGCCTCTGGTTACTCGGAAAAGAACGCCCCTCATTCCTCTCAGACCCTGCTGGAGGCATTCAACAAGTCTGACATCAAGAAGCGACTGGATACGGAGATGGAGGAGTACAAGGCCGGGCTACACCTTGAGCAGGGTGCGCACGACGATTTCCAGGTTGCCGTCAAGGAAAGCAAGCGAATGTCTTCTCACAAGTCGGTCTATCAGGTTGGCTTTCACCTGCAAATGTGGGCTCTCATGAAGCGTCAGTTCTCTCTCAAGATTCAGGACCGCTTCAACCTGTCTCTCTCCTGGATTCGAAGCATCATCATCGCCATCGTCCTCGGTACGCTCTATCTCAACCTCGGTGAAACCTCTGCCAGCGCCTTTAGCAAGGGTGGTCTTCTGTTCGTCGCCCTGCTCTTCAACGCCTTCCAGGCCTTCTCTGAACTGGGAAGCACCATGGTTGGGCGAGCCATCGTGAACAAGCACCGAGCGTACGCCTTCCACCGACCCTCTGCTCTCTGGCTCGGCCAGCTTGCCGTGGACACCTGCTTCTCAGCGACGGAAATCCTGGTCTTCTCCATCATTGTTTACTTCATGACGAATCTGTTCCGCGATGCCGGAGCGTTCTTTACATTTTACCTCATGATCGTAGTCGGAAACCTGTGCATGGCTCTCTTCTTCAGATGCATTGCCTGCGCCAGTCCCGATTTTGACTACGCTATCAAATTTGCTGTCGTTACTATTACGTTCCTTGTCACCACCTCAGGCTATCTTATCCAGTACAGCGTTCAGAAGGTGTGGCTGCGATGGATCTACTGGATCAATGTGCTGGGGCTGGCCTTTAGCTCGCTGATGCAAAACGAGTTCACCAGGATCGAAATGACTTGCACGGACGACTCCCTGATCCCCGCTGGAGAAGGATATGACGACATCAACCACCAGGTCTGCACTCTTGCCGGATCGAACGCTGGTAGCAGTCTGGTAGATGGCGCCGAGTACATCTCCAAGGCGTTCCAGTACAACAAGGGCGAGCTGTGGCGAAACTTTGGAATCATCATTGCCTTGATTGTCTTCTTCCTCTTCTGCAACGTGACTCTGGGAGAGCTCGTCCGGTTCGGTATGGAGGGTAATGCGGCCAAGACATTCACCAAGCCCAACGAGGAGCGTAAGAAGCTGAACGAGACCCTGGTTGAGAAGCGGGATGCTCGTCGCAAGGATAAGACGCAGGAATCTGGTTCCGACTTGACGATCGCTTCCGAGAGTATCCTCACTTGGGAGAACCTCAACTACGACGTGCCCGTTCCTGGCGGTACCCGACGTCTGCTCAACAATGTGTTTGGATACGTTAGACCTGGCGAGTTGACTGCTCTTATGGGAGCATCAGGTAAGTTAAGAGAATCATTTGTTAACTTTGTCCACTTAGACTAACGACATGTAAAAGGTGCCGGCAAAACAACCCTCCTCGATGTGCTGGCGGCCAGGAAAAACATTGGTGTCATCCAGGGCGACGTCCTTGTAGATGGTGTGAAGCCAGGAAAGCAGTTCCAGCGATCAACCTCTTATGCCGAACAGCTTGATGTCCACGAGCCAACTCAGACCGTCCGAGAGGCTCTTCGATTCTCCGCCGAACTCCGCCAGCCCTACGAAACCCCCATTGCCGAACGCCATGCCTATTGCGAGGAGATCATCGGTCTGCTTGAGATGGAGGAGATTGCCGACGCCATCATTGGATCCCCTGAGGCTGGACTGACTGTTGAACAGCGCAAGCGTGTCACAATCGGTGTCGAGCTGGCCGCAAAGCCCGAACTGCTGCTGTTCCTGGACGAGCCCACATCTGGCCTTGACAGCCAGAGCGCTTTCAACATTGTTCGATTCCTGAAGAAGCTTGCTGCCTCTGGACAAGCTATCCTGTGCACGATTCACCAACCTAACGCTGCTCTGTTCGAGAACTTTGATCGCCTTCTGCTCCTCCAGCGTGGTGGCCAGACCGTCTATTTCGGTGATATCGGCAAGGATGCCCACGTTCTGCGAGACTACCTCAAGCGACACGGCGCTGAGGCTGCCCCTACTGACAATGTCGCTGAGTTTATGCTGGAAGCCATTGGTGCCGGAAGTGCTCCTCGTGTGGGCGACCGCGACTGGGGTGACATTTGGCTGGATAGTCCCGAGCTCGCGGCCACCAAGGACGCCATCATCCAGATGAAGCGCGAGCGTGTCTCTGCAACAAGCCAAGCCAAGCCGGAGCTCGAGAAGGAATACGCCTCTCCCATTCAGCACCAACTCAAGGTTGTCTGTACCCGTATGTTCCGTGCGTATTGGCGTACACCCAACTATCTCTTCACCAGGATGTTCAGCCACGTCGCCGTCGCGCTGATTACCGGTCTGACTTTCCTGAACTTGGATGATTCGAGAGCTTCTCTTCAGAACAAGGTCTTCGTCATGTTCCAGATCACCGTTCTCCCCGCACTCATCATGTCCCAGGTAGAAGTCATGTTCCATATCAAGCGTGGTCTCTTCTTCCGTGAAGCCTCGGCCAAGATGTACTCGCCCATCACCTTTGCCAGCGCCATCTCGCTAGCTGAGCTGCCATACTCGGTTCTTTGCGCAGTGGTCTTCTTCCTGCCTTTGTACTTCATGCCTGGGTTCCAAGTCGAGGCTTCTCGCGCCGGGTATCAATTCCTCTTGGTGCTCGTAACAGAGTGCTTCGCCGTGGGTCTGGCCCAGGGACTCGCCTCACTCACACCAGAGCCCCGTGTTTCCACCCAGTTCGACCCCTTCATCATCATCACCTTCGCCCTCTTCTGCGGCGTCACCATCCCCTACCCCCAGATGCCCAAGGGCTACTCCTCTTGGCTGTACCACCTGGACCCCTTCACCCGCCTCATCAGCGGCGCCGTCACCACCGCTCTGCACGATCTCAAGGTCGTTTGCAAGACCTCGGAGCTCAATCTCTTCACCGCCCCCGATGGCATGAATTGCGGCGAGTACATGGAGCCCTTCTTCTCCCGCGGCGGGGCGGGCTACATCACCAACAACGACACGCAGAGCTGCGAGTACTGCGCGTACGGCGTCGGTGACGAGTTCTACACCCCGCTCAACATGTCCTTCGACACCCGCTGGAGGGACCTGGGTATTCTCATTGCATTTGCTGCCAGCAACATGGTGATTTTGTTCGTTGCGGTAAGTTTTCCCTATAACTTTTAATCGTGTCTTGTTAGAGACAAGAAACGCATTAGACAAGTGAAACTAACGATCGATTTGCAGAGCCGATTCCTGAACTTTAACAAGCGGTAAACGAAAAGTACTGATTATTTAATATTCCCGGGAGGACAAAAATGGAGGCTAGGTTGAGAAAACCTAAGTGCAAGACTGGAATATAGAAAGAATAGTGAAAGTAGAATTAGGACCCGGCTAATTCATTTCATTGTAATATTGAATAAATGATGAATCTGTGTATACCACGCTGCCATTAGGATGAATGCTACTGAATAGGAACAGCCGACGGCTCTTCAAAGGCAATGTTCACTTATCTCTGCGATTTGAACACTTTCCACTCTGTAATAGGCAGCCGTTTTGGCGTTTGTTTTTGGTTTTGTCGGTACCTAATGACAATTTGACCAGACATACGTTTAAAAGTACTGATTCGAGGTCACGATGTTTGAAGGCTGCTTGGACACCCTTGCTAGGTTACTAGCTCACCGTTCTCTGTGGGAAGTATATCGAGCCACTACTTGAGAGAGGTTTATAAATGCTCCTCATTTGTGAAAGTTTGTAAATCATCTTAGAGCTCGTAGTTCTTACCTCCTTGTCCTTCTGCTAGCCAGTGCCCCTTCAATTTGGTGTCTTATGCCTCCAACCAAACACTTGGAAGAATCCTATCTGGACATTATCGACTGCAAATGATCCCTTTCGGCGCCTTCCGAGTATCTGTTCTAGTGATCATTTAGACATCTTGACAGAAACCCATCCAGCCCCTTTGGCGTGCAGGTTGCTCTCATCGCTCCTTGCCCCAGAGCCGCACCCAAGCTCCAACTCGACCACATTAGGACATCACACCTTCTGTTTATGCAAATACCAACCATAATGTTTTCTGTTCAGGTTACTCAGGTTGCTCCCTGTTATCAGACACGCATCTCGATCAAGCTCTACAGTTACTCGAATATCGACACGTCAAGCCAACTCTGTAAGACGTCGGGCATCCTCTCGAAGATATGGATTAACTTGATCGAATCTTGGAAGGAAGCGCAGGTGGAGGATGGAATGTGCTTTAGTTTCTCACAGGGAACGATCGAAAGCGCAACGAAGGCGCGTAAGATTATTCGAAACTTCGCTCCTACGCCCATGGATTGATTCGACTATAAATCCCATCGATGCCATGACAAGAATCTCAGGCAGCGACCGCACAAATCCACCATTTCGGCGGGATTTCCACAGTACCACCAGCCCCTACTGATCCCATAGGGTATAGCTTAGCTTCGGCGACGACGCATCTGACGATTGATCCGACGAATGTACCTCGGGCAGTGCCTACGTAGCTGAGGCTGTAAAACCTGGATCTCACCCAATACCCCCCATTTGTCTTCCTCTTCTGTTCTTCATTTGTCGCACCAAGAACTTCTCCCAAATAGGTAGCGAAATGTACGGGACACGAGTACTACTTGTCATGAGAAACACTAGTTTGAACAATTTATTCTGAAAAGTGTTATCACAACAGGTCATATAGACCAGGTCCTTACTCCTCTTCGCCGATGCGGTTGCTACTATGGCAGCAATCAACCCCCTCTCCAGGCAGTCAACACTCTACCTCCTCCAAGCAACCAGCTGTGAAATTGATCCAACTAACGCATGGTTAAGATACCAGGAATGCTTACCATCATGGAAATAAATCAAACAAGCAGAGGACCGGGCAGCAGCCATCATGGCGGAACTCGCCATTTCGCTACGGCAGGGCCACAAGATGTTTCTTCGAGTGTCAATCACACAATAACTTGACGAATATACTATATGTCAGTCTTGCTGGCATCTTATCGCCTTATCTCCATGGCTATTCTCATATGTTACAGGCCAAATGCTATTCAATTCAACTATACTAACTATCGTCCAGACAACGAGGTGTCGTGTGCTTCCTATCTTCCGTTCCCAATATAAACCCATATACATACTACTTTCCCCAAACGACTCATGTTAGTGTTTCTAAGACAGGTCGAAGTACGCATACCGTTGGTAACGACTAAAGATATCAAAGCCATCAGCAAGGCAATACATACATTACGCATCGTAACATCAGAATAATCCACAATAGACAACAAAAGTTTAACATTCGCTTACTATTGGGGCTCGTATCATCAAAGCAAACAATAAGCCTACAATTTCCACTGGAGGTTAAACAGGCGGCTTGGTGTGACGCATCCTTTGTTCAAGGACTGCCGATCAGTAGCAGACAGTAAGCACGCACAGCATATCCTATGCGAGACATTCGCAAACCCAAACGGGTCCAGATGAGGCTGTTCGTGGCCGTCGGTCCTCTCCAAGCCCGACGAATCCGTGCCAGTGAGATACGATGCGCTAATAATAGAAATCCACATACAACGCTGACAGACTCCCACGCTCGCCAGTGGGTGGTGGTTGGGCAATGTAGGACTTGCACTACGGCTCAGAGTGTGGCAGATGGTTCCCTCGAAGTTGATTACTGGTCAGATATTCCCGCATCAGGTCCACCGACGAATGCAAGATCGAGTTCATGGCCAGTTCTGGTAAGTCCGGTCTGGGTTGATCGGGATTCCCTCTCGTGGGTAACGGCGGAAGAGACCACGCCGCTCTGCAGCACAGTTCGTTCTCGAACAAGGCTAGAATGCTACCTCAGGATACCACTCACTCTTGCATCCATGCCCAACTGGAAGCACCATCGACACGCAGGCCAAGCGCACCCCTCCCCCTCCAGCCTCCTTGGTGTGCCACACCAGAGCAGCAGGATGGGTAGATGGACAGTGCCCGTTAAGCATTACCTCTTATGCCTGGTCCACGTGCTGGGCTTCACTGCATACAGGTTTTTTTAACGTTCTGACCATAGGACCCATTTCCCTCTACCGCAGCAGAGATGCAGGTGCTGGTTGGACGCTGTAGGCGCTTACCACCACGCCCGTATAGAAGAGCTCTCGTCATCACCACGAATCCTCATCACACAGCGTCACAGCATCCCCACACCACCCTGCCCATCGCAGCAAACGGTTGGTCTGCCCGATATGCGATGCACATGTAAGTGTCTTGTTCTCACCCAGCCTCATTTATTTTAGTCACCACCCGAGGCAGATGTGTCAAAAGAGGGGTGAGCGATATGTAAAAATAGAGGGACCGGCCAAGAAGAGGGGAAGCAGCAGGCACTCGCCAGACCGGACGAGCAATTCTCGCACCCGGTACATACCACCTCGTTGAGTGAATGCGGCCGGCGGTCGCTTCTACGACGTGAGGGTGCGGGGGAGGGGAAGGCCAAGGAGGAAGCCCGGGATCGAGCGTGTGATTACTACCGACGGCCTGCCTCCTCAAGTCCGCAAATGGCGCATTGATCATTACGGGTAAGTTCAGGCAAGTCCCGAGGCAAGGCTGCAGCCACGCGCTTGCATGGCGAATGATACGGACATGGCCATGGCAGGAGGAAGACGAAGGAATGCACTGTGGCGGCGAGCCCTGTCCCACATCATCTCACGTTGGACCGGCAAGGAGGGAACCGGGTCTCACTGGCCCAACCCTGTCGCTGCTGCTGCAACCGCATTGTATCGCCGACGTGCAGATGCGTCTGGCTCATGTCGTGCTGTGGAGATGGAGAGAACGAATACGGATGTGCTGCTGCGTTGTCTCTTCATGAATGGACACTAGGAACGGCTACCGACATCACATGTCGCCTGCTTCGGTAGCAACCCCTCCAGCGATGAAGTGGAGGGAGAACTAGACAATGTGCACTGTAGAGACAAGACGCCAAGCTGTTTTCTTCCATGGCCACCACTGGCTAGTGGGTTGGCTGCACGGACAGAGGCCACTAACAGTAGCCGGGGGCGGCCCGAAGCCAAATGCAATTGCAGCGGTGGTGAATGTAATAATCAGTGGACTATTACATATATTATTAATCCTGCAGACATCCATCCAAGACACTGTCCTCCCAGGATGCAAGCAATGCGCTACCTGCTTGCTTCATGCCTGCAGGGTGCATGGCATGCACACCCATTTCAATCAATTTGACCAAAAAAAAATCATGTTAGCGGCAACCAACGAAACATCGGGGGCCGCCGGCATCCAGCCTCCAGCCCATGCTGACGGCCCCATTGTCACGAACAATGACTTTTTCCACTTCCATTCCACTTCCCCTTTTCCTAATCTCAACCTAAAATTCGGCGATCTGATGCCCGCCCCCTATTCCCATTATTCTTCAAACAGCGTCGCCCCCCAATATCAGCAGTCAATGGGGTCTTTTGGCCAACGGAACACAGGGGACGTTTCCGACATGACTCGTCTCTGTGTCCTTGCCCCTCCCCCCCCTTTTTCCCTGTTTCCCTGCCCCGTTGATTTTTTTTTTGGGACAATTATTATCCGCCCCCATGTTCCTCCTCATGCGACTCGCTCGCTGTTCCTACATGCATGCATGGTAACCCAGGCACAGTACGACATCCATCCTCGACTCACCCCCTCCCTCCTTCTCCCAAACCGTGGCCTCTTCCCGCGCTCCCAGAACGTGGCGAACGCATGACCTCATCGCAAAGTGTGTGTGTGTCCCGCCCATCGCATCGAAAACACTGTACCCACCAACCGCCAAACCGGTGATCAGCAAACCACCAGTCCCCCCCTCCCCGCCGCTAAAGTCCATGGGTTCCTGCTTCCGGTCCCTGCTTTTCCCCCATGTGGTCTCAGCGACGTAATTGATCCTCCGCCAGGTGATAGAATGGTTTGACGTAACGGGCTTCAAGAATATCATGTCCAGAACTGGGCAAAGGCGATGAGGGGAAAGGTTGGATGGCGTCGAGAGCTTGTTGCCTTTTATGGTATTCATCTTCAATAAGTTCACCCTCATGAACATCACAATTAGGTCAGCAAGGGAAGAGTAAATGCAAGAACTGCAATTTTTTTTAAATGTTTTTGTGTGTTTTCTATGTATCAAAACCACTACTTGCCCGCAAGCAAGGTTGCTAAATAAACAAAAACTGCGCCCATAGAAAATCCCAAGAATCGAAGAGAGAAGAAAGCGAGAAGTGAAAAGCGTGTGGCTTCCAGAAAATAAAACTACCTATCAAGTAAAAAAGAATAAA